CCAAAAAAATCCTAAAGTTGAAAAATCTCGATTTTGAACACCCTATATCTCTGTAATCATTCTCGCTAGACCCCAAGTGTGATGCATTGATGAAATCAGCTCACAAAGGAGAATCCGAAAATGCGATAAAATACAGGGTGTCCCATTAGAAAAAGTATAACTTTGATAGGTCACGCATTTTTTAGCCAATGTGCTGCTCATCAGCCTAGACCATCACAAACATTTTTGTTCATCTATCTCAAACAGCGAAGCTGTTATCTCACTTTCTCGTTTCAATGACAAAGTGGCTACAGATATTTTCTTGGCGAACATTGTCTGTTCTTATGAAAAAAACTGCAAAGCATTGAATTTATCGGGTCGTTTTTCGGAGAATTAATTTCTTCCTATCTTCTACGGGAATATAGGATGTTCCCTCTAAAAGTGCCCAATCTGGCCCACCCTGTACATAAGTAAGATTAGTAAGAGTATACCAGCAGTTCAACTGTTCCATTATTTTTTGCAAGGTCAAACATTTTATGGATCCGAATAATTATGATTTTTATTTCATAATTTATGATAACCATTATTAAGGGAGAGAGAGAGAGTGAGGAATACTATCGAACCGCTTCATTAATGATATCTTTCTTCACGCTCCAGTGAATTATGGAGCGCAGTGCAGGAATTCAAGGCTGAGAAAATTGATTCGTGCCCCTTTTGGACCTCCCCCCGACAGTCGGTTTCGTTCCCCCGGGGGGTTGGAACTAGATAATGGCAGTTGCATTAAGTTCGCTAAATTGTTTTAATATTTATCGCGATGCCGTATTTACGATCGAAGGGTACAATTTAATAAAACCCCATGAATAAACCTGTAATTGAACAAGTTGTTCCATATTATAAATAATGAAAATGTAACCGCTCTGTAGTAGGCCATAAGAGGGGCACCTCGTTTCCGGAAATATTTTGTTCAGATTTATTCCAATCTAGGATTATTAGAATTAAGAAGGAATAATCATCATCTCCACGATATTTAATGAGTTAGGGTCTATTTAGTCAACTCTGTCTTCGTCTCAGTCTCAGTCCTTGTTCTAATTTTAGTCCTTAAACCAAGTTGATTCTACACATTCGCATAAGAGCATTTATACAACAGTATTTGTCACAATCTCAAGTCTCAGTCCTAAAAACGTGACCTTGAGAGTTCCCAATTTTCAACTTTTATGCTTAGAACTAAGACCATGACGTCAGTGCGCATGCTCAGTGCGTGCATGGCATTATTGACAAACGACAACTTTCTTCATTCTGGTATTTTGTATACAAACCAGTAGTGATTGATGCTTGATTATTAAAGGAATCCATTTTTTTCACTTTAGAAAATATCAACAATGAAATTTAGAAGAATGAAAAAAGTTTGGTTATATGTCTGACATTTCTGTCACTGCCATTTGTGTCAATTTGTCGAAGTCCTAAATCCTAATATCTAGAGTTGTATAAATAGTCATGTCCTTATTCTTAAAGATAAAGACTGAGACTAGAACTGAGACTGAGACTTGAGACGAAGACAAAGTTGACTAAATAGACTCTTAACAGGGATATGTTAGAATTGGAGGGAACATGTTTGGAGCTTATAATATGCCAATCATCAGCCAAAGGTCTCAGATAGCACAATGTCATTCATAGAACGTTCATAGAATATTCTTCGAGAATATTCTCAAAATATGGTACAAATATTCCAGGGATGTTTTATGAACATTCGGAATGGACTGTTTTAAATATTCTAAGAATATTCCTAGTATATTGACGGAGAAGGAAGAAAATTAAAAAAGCTTGCTCCGGTGGAGATGCGAACCTACTATCTTGTGATTGAATTTTTACGAACCTGACACCTTAACCATTTCGCCACGAACCTTATTGATGAATAAAATGAATAGCAAGATTAAAATACTGAATCAGTGGGATAATTAGCATTGAGGCTAGAGAATAAGAGGTTATGTTAGGGTAAACATTATAAATATTGATACAAGAATAGGAGCATCAATATCATTTATTTTGATACGATTCTGAATATTCTCAGAATATTCTGTCAAATTGAATGTTCATAGAAGATTCTATAAGAATATTTTGAAATAAGTATATATTTGAACGTTGTCAGAATATCCATAGAGTATTCTGTGTTGTCTGGGGTTCTACGACGTCCTACAACGTCCTACAATGAATATAAAATAATAACAGGAATAATATGATTGTTAACTTACTTACATGAGAATGAAAAGAGGTTATCAATTTCAAAACATCTTGAATTTTGTAACGTTTTGACAGTTAACCTTTGATTGCATTCAGATGTTCAAATGTTCTTCTCCTAGAAAATTATTTTCAACGGAATTTATTATCCTATATAAGAACCTCTCGATGAATTCCTAGAGGGTACACGCCCCTCTCAAAACAAGCATCTGTCATAATTTTCACAATTTCAATTTTATTCATGTACATTTTTCATCCTCATGTAAGTAATTTAGCAATCATATCATGCCTGTCATTAATTTTATACTCATTGTAAGACGTTGTAATACCTTTGGCTGATGATGGGCTTATTATAATCCCGAAACATGTCCCTGCTATTATAACATAACCATGTTAACCCATTAAATGTCGTGGAGATGACTTAGAGATGCATTCCTTCTTCAACTACTACCACTCAACTTTGAGCAGTATGGACTTTTTCACACGCTCAAGTATTATTACCTACACAAGAACATTGATGAAATTCAATAATAGAGTTCGAACAATGTTCTTTTTCTACGGCTATAACACAAAATTGCTCTCGTTCTACTGTGTTCAATGAATCAATGAGGTACTTTGTATAAGATCAACTTCATTTCCGTATCTGATATCACAAATCACAATGACTGCATTGTGTTTTTATTTCAAAAAATCCTGTCTCCCTTGGAATGTCAAATTTCAAGTAATGACAGCTTTGTCTAGAAGTCGAAGAAAAGAAAATTTTCGCTGTTATCTGTTACAGCCGTTGAAAAAGTATAGTGTATAACTCACACGGAATGCTAATTTCCAAATAATATGTGATGAATATCATTCCGTGCTTGTTAAACGATATTATGTTTTCAATTTTGTCATGTAACATGACCCTTTTCAAAACTGACTTTACGTAACCAGTTATCAATGTTCATACGTGTTGTGTATTGATTAAAATAAAATTTGATGATATTTATTACTAACATTATTATTCATTGAATTATTCAATTGTAATAGAGATCAGTTGATTGACCAAAATATCAGTTCTATTTTGAATTCCATTGCAAACTACCAGGTCAGTATTAGTTATTGATACACAAAGATGGTGAAGCATATCATTATAACCCCCAGGGACCTCAGCCGAGGGGTATAAGGTTCCGTGGTGAAAATATTCTTTACTATCAAGGTGTATATTATATTTTCTCCTCCACTAGCAGTATATTTCAATCATTGTTCTGATGTGAGACTGATATATGGACCTAAATTGTCACTATGAAAGCAATTTCAATCCTGATTCAAATCTAGTAGCCATGACCATGACAGCATATGGCAAGTCGATATATTGATAAATACCATAATACCTATACTAGATTCGAGTGCAATCCCTGCAGATCTCGCATCAGAACAGTGAATTAGGCTTAATTTTATGTCTTTATACTAGTAGTTCATAAAATGACGAAACCTACCTTGGTAGTAAGAACACACTTTACACTTTGAGAAGGAGTAAATAATAGTAGGTTCTATAGCTCTGCTATGGTGGTGGAAAAACTTAGGATTAGCGAATTGAGTTATCCGCGGAGCTGGGATTCACCGGTAGTTCTTTGGAGAGAGAGAAAAAGGAGATGACGAACAAAGACGTAACTTGCGCGATCTCTTGTAGTGGCCACCATGTGACCCATGCTGAGGAACCTTGCTCGAATCGAATGCGCCACATTTTTACAAACCGACAAACACGAATATGGTATTTAGCTGTTTAATAATAATCAAGTTCATTGGCGTTACGGTGGATCAACCAGAAAGAAGACTTTGAACCCATAACCTCTCGGCGATTTAAAAGGAAAATATAAATAATAATACTAACAGTATTTTTTTTGCACTACCGGGCGTAAAGTAGCACTTTATCGCCTGGATTTGCGAGCGCAAAGTAATACTTTAGCGCCCTTGGGACAAAAATTGGGAAAGTTACGGATATCGTGAGATATTGATATATGGTTTCAAAATAAATCGAATTGAATAGAGTAATACCCTCGATAATAATGTTGTTTCAATTATTGAGCAACATTAAGTATTTCAATAACTAGGTAACTAGATGATTTGGATGGAAGAAGATCAGCTCAATTTCATATTTCATCGACTCTATTTTATAACTTGATATTGCTATAGGCTTCACTTCCTTGATTAAGTAGGATTTAAAAAATGTTTCTCCAATCTAGGCTCACACTCTGAAAGTATGTTTTTGGCCTTGTATACGAACTCAAAGTTGGCAGGAATATTTGCGGGACTTAACATACTAAGGAGTGCTAACCACTATTTTAAAACGTTACCTCGTATTTCTTAGTGAAACGTCGTGCAAGTGCTGTAAAATTATGCCTCAGAAGTATTAATACCTGACATTACCGGAGTATTCTGATTCAGAGTTTTGAACCGGTTGAGTATGAATTCTCACGTTTTCAGTGCAATCCTCGGTGCAATCACTGCCGATTTTGACTTCAGTGCTAACAGTTCTCCTTGATTTTTTCCACTCAATCCTGGGAACATATTTGAAAATTGTAAAACATCAATTTTCCCCAGATAATCAATTTTACTGGCAAACAATTTCGTGATGATTTTGAATCTGTGCTAATGTTTGCTGGATTCTCGATAGGTCTCCTCGCTGGTCTCCTCCTGTTTGATTTTCCCTACAAAAAGTGTCCTCCTGAGGTTTTTCTCATTCAAAAGTATACTTATTCGATTCCTAATAGATATGTCACACTAGACTAGTTCTCCTAAATTATTCATTATGTCATAATAAGAACAGTCGCAAATAGAATTTTGAGGAACGCGAATTCTGGTAAAACTTCGTATACACGCCAATGCATAGTTCCAAGTATTTTCTGATCAACTGCAACCTATTCAGAGATAAATGATGACATTAGGCTGTTAAGACTCCAAAGGATGAAATAGGGTCGTTTATAATTTTCAATTATGTCATTATGATTGTGTTAGTAATCTCGGCGCAGTAATGAGGGGATTATGTCCCGAGTGCGGGTATGCATATTATGTATAAGCTGGCGAAAATAGTTTATGTCCTGCAGAGACAGTGTCCGCATAGTCATGTCAGCCGATTAGCCACATTTTATATTTCAACTCGTGTGTGACTAAATATTGACAAACTGAACTGATAAACATATACAGGGTGATCAAGTTTCAAATGACATTCTCACCTTAGTTTTGGATGTTCTGATGACGCCAGCTCCAGTCACGATAGCATACACCTCGACCTCGTACACATCAACTCCAGACTCCCTGTCCAACTCAGTGGCAGTGGACAACACTCCCAGCTTAGCATCTATATCGAACAATCTGTCCACCTGAGCACCACCGCCCGTCACATTCGTTACGTAATACTCCACCTCGCCGACTTGATATTTCGCGAAAACCGTCAAAATACTCGTTCCCACTGGCTCGTTCTCGTACACGTCTCCGGACAGCGAGTCACTCTCGAATCTCGGCCCCGAATCTCCATCATCAGTCGCGATTATCGTCAGGTAGGACTCGGTGGACCTTCGTTCGCTTTGCACCGCCTCGTCCGTGGCTTTAACTGATAATCTGTAGGTGGGCTCCGGGTCCTGGATGGCTCTTCGCAGTCTTAGGGCTCCTGAGCTCTGGTCCAGTTCGAACGAGTCACTGTTACCGCTGGCCAGCTCGTAAGTCACTATTCCGTTGGTGGCCGAGTCCAGATCCCTGGCGAAAACTGTCATAATAGATACTTTGTGACGGTAGGCCTTGGTGACTTTGGGTAGCACGGCGGCGTTCATGGATACGAATATAGGGGCGTTATCGTTAACGTCCTCGACTATGACCGTCACCAGTTTATCGGCAGACAGTCTTTTAGAGGGTGGCTCCGCTTGGTCAGTCGCTACCACCGTCAGCCTGAAGGTATCGATGGTCTCTCGGTCTATTGGTAGCAGGGTGTGAATAACCCCCGTAATGGGGTTGATCCCGAAGTGGCGTTGAGCGTCTTCCGGGTCCTGATAAGATATAGCGTAGGAGACCTTGCCGTTAGCTCCGGAATCTGGATCGTCAGCGGTGACCGTTACGATCGGGGTGTGTATGGGAATTCCTTCGCGAATTTGCCGAACAATGGCCGTGCTAGCGAACGCGGGTGGGTTATCGTTTGCATCTTCGACGGCGATGGCGAACAAAATAGTGGTGGATAATCGCGGATGGCCGTTATCGGATGCCGTGATGTTGAGGTGATAGGCGGCGAGGTCCTCGTAGTCTAACGGTTTATGCAAATGCAACACTCCTGTCAGCGCGTCAACGTGGAACGTGTCTTTTCGATTTCCTGCAGTTATCGAGTACACCACCTCGCTGTTCACGCCTAAGTCTAGATCGCTCGCCCGGAATCGCACCAGCTCCGTGTTCACCGGAGTCGTTTCGCTGGTCGATATCCTAGACTCGGTCTGAGTGAACTCGGGAGCGTTATCGTTCTCATCTAGAACATCAATCAGGACAGTCGTCGAGGTGGATAATTGTTTGGTAATGCCAGCGTCGTGAGCTACTACCGTTAGCGTGTATTTCGACGTGGTTTCTCGATCCAGAGACCTGAGCAACGTTATTTGCCCCGTTGCTTCATCAATGTCGAAACGACCGTCATCGTTTCCTCCGATGATCTTGTAGAATACGTCTCCGTTTAGACCTTCATCGGCGTCACTAGTGTACAGTCTCAGTACTTGCGCGCCTTTCGTCGATCCCTCCGAAACCTGTACTTTGAATGGGGCTCTGAGAAACTTGGGCGGGTTATCATTCACATCAGTTATGAAAATGTTCACCTTCACTTTATCTTTGAGTCTGGTCACTCCATTATCAGCGACAGAAGCTTCTAGCGTTATGAAATTCTGACCAGTCGTCAACATCAAATCCTCACGATCGAAAACGTGTAAAGTTTTGATGAAACCGTTTTTTGGATCAATGGCAAAATCGTTCTGGGAAGTGGCCAAAGAAAATATCAACTCTGCATTTCTACCGATGTCTTTATCGCTCGCAGTCAGTTTTCCTACGAAAGAATCTGGAGGTTCGTTTTCTCTGATGCTGAATGAGAACGTGCTATTCGTAAATTCAGGGCTGTTATCGTTTTCATCTATAACGTGGATGACCACTGGCACAACAGAAGACCTCGATGGATTACCTTCATCTCTAGCTGTCACTGATAGCGAGTAATAGTCCTTATCTTCACGATCCAACATTTTCCTCACATACAAATACCCATCAGGAAAAACGCCGAATTTTCCTTCTTTGTTTCCCTCGGTGATGGCATACGATATTTTCCCGTTCGATCCTAGATCTGCATCGCTAGCTGCCAGAGCAAAAAATCTATCATTTACAGGCGTAGATTCCAACAATGATGTTTCGTAAGAAGTGTGATCGAAAACAGGCGTATGATCATTCACATCATCGATTATTATTATCACAGAATGCTTTGACGCTAATGCAGGTTCGCCGCTATCAGTCGCTTGCACTTCTACTTGCAATACCGTGCCTGGATCAGCTCTGATTGGTCGATTCAAGTAAATAACACCTGTTGCTTCTGAGATTCTGAACTGCTCGTCGGGGTTATAGGTTAGATTGTACGTAACTCTGCTGTTTATGCCGGAGTCCAAGTCTCTTGCTTTGGCGAAATAGATTTCTCGTCCTACTGCTGCGTTTTCTGGAAGTTTGACAGCTTCCTTGTCCTTTAGGAATACCGGTTTGTTATCGTTCAGGTCTTGTACTATCACATTGACTTGAGTTTTTGCATATGACAGCCCTACTCTAGCTACAATCGTCAAGCTGTATGTCATAGTTTGTTCTCTGTCGATTTTCTGAGCTGTAGTGATTCTCCCTGTAATTTCGTTTATCTCGAAATTATGATTCGGGTCACCATATACAATAGAGTAGGTCGCTTCATTGTTTCTTACGTGTACGGTGCCGACGTCTCGATGGGTAAAAACTGTGGCATCATCAGGGTCTTCGGTTATTTGAAATTCGTATCCACCATAGTTATCGAAATGGAGTTCTTCCATGTAAGCTTCTTTAATTATTTCGACTGTGGCATCTTCTAACGCTCTTCTATCTCCATGATCTTGGGCAGAGATTTTCAAACGGTGTATGGGTTTAGGAAAGTTTTTCAGATTTCCACGTAGAGTGACAATTCCACTCCACTCGTCTACAGAAAACAGTCCATCTCCACCACTCTCTAGCTTGAACGTTATCATAGCATTTTCGCCTTCGTCTCTATCAGTTGCTCGTAATTTCAAAACTGCCGTCCCTGGCCTAGTGTCTTCTGCTACCGGTACAAAATACTTTTGTGGGTAGAACTCCGGGCTGTTGTCATTCACATCCAAAACGTTCAAGAATACGGTAGCAGTGGACGTCTGAGGCGGTATACCTTGATCTCTTGCGACGACGAGTATTTCGTAATTACTTATTTTCTCTCGGTCAAGCAGCTTTTTCGTCGTCAGTTGCCCGGTGAGCGAATCAAGAGCGAAAGTATCTTTATAGCGGTGTTTCACTGCCGGGTGCAGAGAATAAGCAACACTGCCGTTCGTCCCTTGATCGTGATCTGCAGCCGTTAACATAGCCACAAGTGTACCGGGCGAGGCATTTTCAGACAAACTGACATTCATCCGAGACTGAGAGAATTCAGGTGCTTCGTCGTTCTCATCGAGAATAATCACTTTGAGCTGGGTATGTGCCCATTTGGGGTTGGGCCCACCGTCTCTAGCTGAGATGTTCAATTCGACAGTTCCTTGTACTTCTCTGTTCAAAGGGGTTCGAGTAGTTATCAACCCCGAGTCCGCGTTGATAGAGAACCACTGTTGCTCATTACCAGAAACGAATGCATAATATATCTGAGCGTTGACGCCAGTATCCTCGTCCGTAGCCGTGATGCCAGCAACATAAGTTCCAGGTGGTGCCAATTCGGTGAGAATGGCCGAGTACTCGCTCTTTTCGAAAACTGGCTCGTGGTCGTTGACATCGTTCACGTGGATGATCAAGAAAGATGTAGCGGTGCGTGGCGGACTACCCTTGTCCGTCGCCACCACTGTCAAATTATACTTGGGGATCTCCTCGCGGTCTAGCACCCCATTCACCCTCACTATATCGAAGCTGGGAGTGTAGTCGAGACGAAAGTGGTTCAGTTCGTTGCCGGACACGATTTTGACGGTGGTTTCGCCATTCGATCCTTCGTCCTGATCCACCACAGATACTGCCGCTACCACCGAACCGTTACCTGCATTTTCGTCAACAGTCGCGAACCCCGCGGTGGAAGGAAAGTACCTGAACTTGATGATGGGGTCATGATCGTTAGCATCCAGTAGGTTAACTGTTACATAAGTTCTGCCGTCTTGCCTTGGTGTTCCGTGATCTCTCGCGAATACGGTAAAGACACAGCTTTTCGGGCATGCACCTCCGGGTTTGGCGGGATGTATGCAGTTCTGTTGGGGGCATTCTAATGGCTCGGTGGTCGATATTATACCTGTTTCGGGATCGACGGTGAATTGGTGTTCTGTATCGGCTAGGTAATAGGTTATTTTGGCGTTGTCCCCTAGATCATTGTCTGTTGCCATCACCTGTAGTACGGGGGTGCCCGGTGGTACACTTTCATTCAGAGAAACTATGTAGTCGCTGTGATCGAAAATGGGTGGGTTATCGTTCACGTCCAAGATTGTTACATTGACTTGAAGGTATCCGTATTTCGAAGGGTTTCCACCGTCCCTCGCTGATATGTTCAGCACGTACAGCCCTTGAGTTTCTCGGTCTAGCTTACCGGTGGTTTCCAAGTGGAGGTAGGAGGTTTCGCCTGTTGGATTTGGAGTTACGACTAGCTTGAATTTCTCCTCGTGATTTCCTGCTATGATTTTATAATTGTCTGATACCCCATTCGCTCCAATATCTTTATCGGTCGCGGCGTCTAGAAGTAAACGAGTACCTGCAGCAGCACTCTCCGAGAAAGATACCGCAATGCTGGGCTCTGGAAATTCAGGAGCGTTGTCATTTATGTCTATGACAAGTATTCGTACCTCGATGGGGTAGGTAGGTTGACTAGATAAGATCACTAAATCGCATCGATCGTTTTTGAGGGATTCCCTATCCAGGATCAAGCTGGTACCGATTTCGCCTGTGTTAGGATCGAGAGTGAACTCTTTCGGCGGTTCATTGAAACGATAAGTGAAGCCAGGTTTTGTGGGAATTTTGCCCACGATTGTACCTTTTGGTTGCCCCTCAAGAATTTCTAGAGTCACTCTGGTATCGACTGCTCGCGATTGCATTTGCGTAGAATATCCATAGTAAGGGTCGTTGACAAGACCTGGTCCGGGTCCGGGTCCGGGGGTTCTAGCCCCCACGAGAAGAATAGCTCCCGAGGTGAATAACCAAAGTAAAAATTTGAACATTTTTTTAGTCCTAGCGGAGCATGATACACAACCTCATAGATTCGAACGCAGCATTTTGTCTATACACACGTGTGTTATAGCTCTGACATTCCGCGCTAGTCGCGCATACTGCCGTTCAGCCTCTGGAGTAACCAGTCATCTCTGTTGCTCGCTCGTCTCTCGAGACTTTGGCTCTCTGTCAGCGTGGTATGCAATATGGCCGTCCACTCTCGACTTATCCCGTAAAAACACTCTAGGATCTGCGACCAGCACTGGCACTCGCGCAGACACTAAGGACTAAAGGCTCTACGTCTGGTCCTTAACACTCGCGTCGCTGTCACTTGTCACAACAATGTTTATCCTCGGGGTGGGTTCAGGGAGATAGCGAACGAAAGAAAGCGCGATAAAATCACTACCGATGTTTACTCGTCGCGGTGTGTGGATTCACATGTGCACTGTGTCAAAGTACCTTCAAGTCCGTATGGTGTGCGCAAAAGGTGGTGTGTGCACTGCGCTAACGCGTTTCCTCGACTGCCGAGGATCTCTTCTTCTCGGCATACCTGGGAAGGAGTAGAGCGACCTGTCGGCGTTGCCAGCTCACCTGCTTCTTGACTCGAACATAAACAATATTTATGAGTTTGTCAGTCGGGCCTGGTTCGGCTCGTAAATCTATTGTAGGTGCCTATTTTTTGTTTGTTGGATGCTTCGCAGCGTTCTCAGGAGGTATCTAATGCGTACGCGCGTATACGAGGAAATTAATGTTTTTGGGCACCGATTCTCGTTTGATAAGTTATTGCTATCGGGGTCGTGTGTTTGTTCGGCATGACGTGGTACAGGGTGTGTCTGATGGACGCGAGCTAACCGGGTAATTCGATACGAAAATGGGAAGGAATCTATTTTTATTCAAATCTCAACGCAACGTTGATTTGGATATTGGAAAAGCAACGCGCCTAATTTAGACTTGTTTTACATCAATAATTACTGTTTGTTTGTTGGTATATACGTGTTTCTCATTATTATCCTTGTAAATGAAAATACGTTACTATTTTTTATCGAAAAGATTGAAGATGGATGAAATTTTTTTAACAATTTGGGTAGGTACCTATGTTATGTTTATGTCACAATGTCTACAGTAAAAGTAGTAAATAGTAAATAGTTCGATGTTTACTCTTGTGTGTCGTATATACATAATCTGAATATGAATAATTCTAAACTTTTGATTGCTGTATTTTCCATGATCATGTACTGAATAGTCTTGATAAATCATCGATCTAAATTAGGATCCTGTTTGTTCAGTATGCTGTCTGATGTTTGCGTTGATTGATGCTAGTAATCGGGTAATTTGATATGAAAATGAGAACGAAAACATTTTTATGGAAATTTCCAGCATTTATTTGAAGATTAAAATAGCTGAATGAAAACAAATAGATAAATCCTTCTCGTCTTGTTTTGCATAAACAGCTATTTCTAGGAATTCGGAGAGTATGTACAGGATGTCGATAAATTTTATCCAACTTTTCCGATAGCATCATGTTATATATGTTTACCAGTATTTTCAAATTGATATCTTATCTTAAAATGAGTAAATCTTTCATAAGTTCCTGATGAAATTTTCTCACAAAATAAATATCCAATCTGGAATAAGAATTCACATATACATATTTTCATCGATATTGTAATATAACTTGGAATTGATAAATGTCTGAAACCTCTTCCAAAAGTATACATAATTTTGGTAAATGCAAATGAGGTCAGGTATTTGAGTCAGTATGATTTTTGTGCTGTTCGTTTCTTCACTATATAGAATTATATGATGTATGATGATGAAGTGATGGAAACCTTGATGAAAATGATAGTGGCCTAGATAATATGTAGGTATATGAGCCTACAGAAATTATAAATTGCTCCTTCTTAATAAAAGTTGACAGTTGTTTTTCACAAGAAATAAATGTACATTGAGTTCATTTTGAGAATTATTGCCCACTTTTGAATATATTTGCATCCCAGGTATATTTATATTGGATTAAAAAACGGAAGTCAGGAAAAGAAATTGATAAATAATTCCTAATAAGGTAGTGGAATTATGTTCTTATTTAAAATGTTCTTTCCAAATTTCATGAATTCTAGTTGGATAGGACGACATGAAATTGTCGTATGGCCATCTGACACAAACATCTGCTGGTTTATTAGTTGAAATTTAGAGGCGTTATAAAAATAAGGGACGTTTAATTTGGAATTGGTAGGTTTCTTGTCTTATCTCCCATTGATCTCTCTTTTGTACCTATTAGATTAATTAGATTTATTGAGGTTGGCTTTGAGTTATTCAATTTCCATCATGTATACAAGTTGTTCGGCGTTCCTCGTTTTTTAAAAGTAAACGTTCAACTTCAACTACAATCTGTATTTGAGACATTGATTGATCGCAAAGTGCGTGGATTGTGAATTATTGGGTGAATATTCCTTGAGATATTTATATAGGTACTGTCATGTTATATCGAATAAATCGAATGAATAATAATAATAATTATAATAATAATAATAATAATTAACTTCTTTATTTTGAGAAAAAATTACAATACATTGCATGCATTACATTGCAACCATTGAACAAAATAGGGTCAATCTCGATCGAAAACAACTACATACATACATACAATGTACAGGTTGATTTACGGGGTTCATACATTATAAGTTTCCCACCTTGCAGTTTTGGATTGAAAACTTGTGTGCCAAAAGTCGGCACCAACTTTCTCATTTCAAATGGAAACATGCATTTTTTCACTCGTTTCGATTGGTCTTCTAGGAATCTGAGTTTAGTGACCTAATTTATATCAACTCATCTATCCCAGATATGTCGATCTTACTGAAAATTTAATCGGCGTATCTATATACAGGGTGTTATTGAATAAGTTGATTTTATTTATAACGCCCTGGGTGAGCTTTTATGGTGCCAAAATTCAGTATGGTTGGAGACTGAAAAAAATCCAGAATTTCAAATTGATTCTTTATTGAGGTTATAGAGTGATCTGAATGAATGTTTCGAGAACACCTACATTAAAGTTTGGAATGAAATCGGATTTTCATCATTTCCTCAAATAAGAATGTTGATATTTCAATTGTTCAATCTAATAAGAAAATGGAAGTCAGAAAAACTAGTAGCGAACAATGATATTAACCGTATATATCGATAAATTGACCCACTGCGACGCCACTGAAAATAGTATTTCGAATTTAATTACATCAGAAGTTGCTACATTCTATAAAATTACCAAGTTTCATTGACATCAGTAAAAAGTCATTTGATGATTAAAAAAACGATTTTTCATGCAAATTTTAATACCCTGTATCTCGAAAACGAAGCAAGTTAGGACACATTTTTTTTATGTTCTGGTTCCCACGAAAAGGGATATCCTGTAATGTTCAGAGAACATCGTGAGAACCAAGGGAAATAAGGTAGGAATTGCTGTTCTTCTTGAATTTCTGGAGGTTATATGCATCAGGGAACACCTCCCTTGGCAATGTGTTCCAGAGCCTTGCTGTTCATTGATTGAACGAGTCTTTGGAAAGAGCTGTTCTGCAGGTCTCCAAAGTGACCACGAAGGAGTACGGAGCCTCAACTCGACGGGTTAATCTCGCGGGGACTGCCAAGGGAGGTACAATTGTTGATATTTCAGAAGAGCATCGTCCATGAAAATATCTGTAAAATAGAGCCAGATCGCCAACTTTTCTACGCTGTCCCAGAGAAATGAGTGAGTTTGTGAGCGAGGCATCACCCACGAGACGAATTGCCCTTCTTTGGATAGAATCCAACAGTTTCAGGGTATGTTTGGGTGCTGCACTCCAAATATGGGAACAGTATTCCAGGACAGGTCGGATCTGTGCCTTATAGATCATGAGCAGCTGACTGGAAGTGAAATAGCTCCTGGTCCGAAACAGAAAACCAAGTTTTTGGGATGAACTTTATTTTCTGAAATATCACAAGGTATCATCCCCTGGAGTTTGTCGCACGTATTCACTAACACCCTGTATATACGAAATTATTCATCTCATACAATATCTCACAAACAGTTCAAATTCAGAGTACCGTCGAATGAGGTGGCTTCGGACGGTACCGGTGATTTCGGACAGTCGGTACTTTTCGCTCTCAATCGTGAATGTCGCGGAAGCAGGTATCGCGATAGACGTGAATCTTCTGCAGGTTGAATCTTGTTAGTATAGTCCGGTGGTCGAGAGTGTAGTTTGCGTAGAGAGGTAAGGAAGAATTGTTCACGTCGGTATTTATATGAGCGTATTTTTATTGCGAATTCTCAAAAGTGAAAAAGTAACTGCTGTAGCACTTTTTGTGTTGAATGTAGAGCTCAGTGGCATATGTTCAATCAAAGGGTGATGTTCAAAGAATGCTTTGATGATGTATCTGTTTGAAAATTTCATAGAATTTTTTTATACAGGGCGATAACCAGAACATCAGCATTATTGCGGAAGACTTCGGACATGGGCCGGACCTATAGAAAAATCCTTGGCGGACGTTCGTACCAATGAATCGTCAGAAGAGGACACTAACGAGAGAGTAGAAACTATTTCTACTAAGACTGATTTAGAAAATTTGAAGAAAAATGATTTCGCAATAATAAAAGTGCCTATATTCAATTCTAAGAAATATAAACTTTATGTTGCCCAAATTTTATGACAATTGGGAGATAATCACTTCCAAGTTAGCTCTTGAGTTTGGAAGAGGAAAATACAAATTTTGTGATTTGAATGATATTGTCATAGGATAGCTTCATTCGTTTTTTTGTGATACATGAAGTAAGTTCCTACTTTGTTGATTATTTTATTGAATGTTACTATTTATCCGTGCTCATCTTGCCGGTCACTCCGGAGATGCGGTACAGGAGATCGCCCAGCAGCTGAACGGAACTGGAATTGATAGATAGATTTATTGTATAAAAAGAATTGCACTAATTATCATTACCAGGGTTGGGTAATCTGTAATGAATGAATACATGAGAACTAATAGCTAAAACGAAAACGAAAATCCTCCCTGCGTGACCTTGATCAAATCTACCAATAAAGACATTGAAATAATAATTGATATGCAAATTACTCATTCACAACAAAATATCTAAGCCTCAACAAATTGATCAGAACTTATACTAGAAGTTTCAAGTCAGCTAAATCATCTAGAGATTCAATATCTTGAAATAATCGAAAATTCCTGATACCAGCATAAACTGGACATTCAAAGAGAATGTGTTCAAAAGATTCCGGTCTGTGGAGATTGCAAACAGTACATTTTTCTTCAGTATTTATTTTATACACTATTCGATTGAAGGTAATTTTAAGGGACGACTTACTGCATGTCCTTAGTTGAGCGATAATTTTAGTTATATATCGGGTGGCTACGGAAGTAACAAGAGTCTCGAGATCATACCCGTGTGTTCACCGAACACGCTCGATCGTTACCTAAGCGGTGGGGTTGACCGAGACGTAAGA